TAAGACTAATTTATCACGAAAACTTTTGGGTGGTTTGAAATATTTTAATTTAACACTTACTTATCATAACAACTTTCCTGGGGTTTGTCATGAGTTTCTACGACTGGTTGCCATTTTATATGTATGCGACTTTGGTTATTAGTGCTGCAACTATCATTTAATTCTTCCCGTGGCACAAACGGGTCTACTAAGTCCCTATATTATTACTCCCTCCGTTTCATATATTTGAGGTAGTTTGACTCGGCACAGAGTTTAACAAAAAAGAAGAAGACTTTTGAAAGTTGTGGCAAATAATTTCCCTGAACACTAAACTTTCCTCTTTAGTTACCCTTTTTTATAGGCTACTTTCCTCTCTGGTTACTGTGGTGTTTTAGCATTAGATTAGTATGATGTTGCAACATTGAGCTTCCAACATACTTAACAGATGATGTGTTACTTTCTGTTGAACTCAAGACACTCTATCGATCATGAGGTTTATATGATGTCTTACGTCCTTGCTGCAGTAAGTAGTTTTGGCTTATTTGTTTTTTATTCAACTCTAAATGTATGAACTCATGTTGGTTATTATATATTCTTTAAAATTTTGTAGCTATTTGGAGCAAATAGAACAATCTGTATGTCATTGAATATATGTTTTGTCTAATCAGTTATGCATAATAGTTGTGCAATCATTGTTCAGTGTGGTCATCGTACATATTGTATGATGCAAGTTACAATCTCACTGAAGACAAAGTGTGATAAATTAAGTTTTGTTGTTTACAAGCACTCCGGACATGCACACAGGATAGTGGCTGTTATAGCATTTACATTAACAGAACATTGTGAATTCTCCAACAGCGAGGAAATAAATCTTAAGAAAGTTTACTTATTTTTTCAAATTGGCATTCAGTAAGCTGACTACCAAATGCTAATCCCAACAGCTTGATTTCATTTACTATTTCTGTTTATCTTCTTAATTGATTTAAAGGATTGTGCATATATGTGGAAAGAATCTCAGTACATAAAATAAGTGTACGCATGTACAATAATGTTTGATGAAAAATTAAATTTTTCTTTTTATGTCCTATATCAAATTGAAGATACTACTAGACCCAAATAGCTATTTAGTAGCTTATACTGATAAAACAACATGGAATAGCAAGACTTTGAGAACATCTGGGCTTTTACAGATTTAACAGCTTATCAATGTGAACAAAAGATAAATTGTACATCCACATGTTAAAAGCTTCAAACTCTGATTCACGAAGACCAAGTGTGAAAAACAAACAATTAAAGATCTCATTGCAAACTTAATATTGAAATTTCTCTTCTTATTGAGAAAAGACACAAGGCATGGATGGTTTAGTTCAATCCGTACTGTCTAATTGAAAGCAAAAGCGGTTGTTAGTATTTAGTCGCAGGTTTTCCCAATTATTTCACAATCGAGAAAATAAACCCAAAACAATAGTAGAAATTAAAAAAAAAAATGCATAATTCATTCAGGAATTGCCTCAAACACCTAAAGACAAAGCCGTCCGAAAAATTAAACTCTCTGGCAATAAAGCCCTAACATGCCATGAAAAATTAAATAGAGAAACATGGTATGCGAAGAAGGAGAAGAAAACTCACAAGAAACAACGATCCAAACGGTAAATTCACAAAACTGCAAATATGAGATCAATAAGCGCAAGGAGCCAAAAGGTGGAAGTTGGGAATTGACAGATGGCGGAGCTTATCTGATATTGGTGATACTGTGCTTATTATGAATCTTCTTCAGTTTGTTCTCTTTGTCGTTTAATTGATGCGAATCCTCGAGAGGCACACTTTGTTGCAAAGTATATTTTTTTGCCTTTGATTTTTTATCAAATGACTTAAATTGTTAATTTTGTCTCATAAATAAGTAATTCGCAGAATCTTTCCCATATTTTACCTTTGTATTTTTGGTGTATGTACAGTTGGATAAAAAGTTAATATAGCAAGTGTTAATTAATACTTTGTTGTTCGTTTGGTTACCATAAAAATATACTCTAAAGTTCTGTTAATTTGCAAACGCTAAATTAGAATTCAAAGAAAAGGTTACCCAATCCAACAGCTAGGGACATGTCATTCAACAACAAAAAAAACTAGTGTAATCCCACAAGCAGCGTCTGGGAGGACATGTCATTCAGAAAGAAAGAAAACAATAAAGATGGGTGAAAATGCCAGAAATGGAAATGAAATCAATACTATTGACATGGTTCACATTGTATCTTGTGAAAGAAAGGCACAAGAAAATGACCTTGGACAGTATTTTAACATTATTTCGACCTAGATCACAGCAAAGTGGTGTGAACTTTACATGTCAACATCAATAATGATACTAATTTAAGTGGAATGTCTTAAGGAGAATTTCAAAGTCTTCTTCAATATTCATTCAAAATAGACCCTGTTAATATAAGTTATGTGGAAAGCTAGGAGATAAGAAGTGTGTATAATAGCATATATAAGAAAAGAGGCAAGTAGAGGCAATTTAAAGTTAACTTAAATAGGTGACAATCCATTGTAGATTAACTTCACAACAAATCCATTTCATCTTATGAAAGAAATATTGATAAAGAACCACGATGACTTCAAAGGAGACAAAGAAGCTTGAAACTACGTCACCGTGCAAGAGAAAATATGAGCAACACTTGCACCAAATCCAAACAAATGATGGAATCTCTCAGCCTCCTTGGGAGTCGTAATCTACAAAAGAGATCATCTAAAACATCAACAATGTTCAACAACAGTGATTTCCCCACCAAAGCTCAAGGGCAATGTTCATATAGACAGAGAGATGTGTTGACGATCTGTAACGACCCGATCGTTCGTTCTGAGAGTTATAGCCACATTTCCCCCATCTATGCTTATTTATATGTTGTTCGGCCGTGTTGAGTTGTATCGAGTTGGTAGGTTTGGGTTCTAAGTAGTTTTGGAGTGAAATGAACACTTAGTCTCTTAATTAGAAAGCTAAGTTAGAAAAGTCAATCGGAAGTTGACTTATGAGTAAAAGAATTCGGATTTGAATTTTTATGATTCGATTAGCTTCGTTGGGTGATTTTAGACTTAGGAGTGTGTCCAGAATATAATTTGTAGGTCCGTGGTAGAATTAGGCTTGAATTGGCAAAAGTTGGAAGTTTAGAAGTTCTTAGGCTTGAATTCGAGGTTGATTTTTTTATTTTGGTGTTGTTTTGGGTGTTTCGGAGGATCGACTAAGTTCGGGTAGTGCTATATGACTTGTTGGAATTATTGGTTGAGGTCGCGAGGGCCTCGGGTGAGTTTCAGATAGGTTTGGATTGTGTTGCGCTCGTTTTTCTTATGTTTCGACGCCGTTTCTTCAAGCATAAATGATATCATATTGAACAAATGAGCTACAGTTTCGTTTTTGATTGAAGCATTAGATCCGTATCGTAATTACTGATCCGTAGCAAAAAGAATCGTTGAATTTGGACATCGTACGAGGATTATTATTCTGCCATTTTTAACTGATTCCGAGACGTGGGCCCGGGGGCTGAGTTTTGGCCGATTTTGGATTTTTGGCATGTTTATGTAGTTTTTATTGTGTAATTCAATTCGTTAGACTATGTTGATAGTAGTATTCTGATTATGGTTAGATTCGAAGATTTTGGAGACCGAGTCGAGGGACGAGGACATCCCAGAGTAGAATTTTACGCTGTTGAGGTAAGTAACAGTTTTAACTCTGGCTTTGAGGGTATAAACCCGGAGAAATTGATATCATGTGATTGTTTGGTGGTGATACCCACGCTAGGTGACGGGCGTGTGGGTGTGCACCGCGAGGGATTGAGACTTGGTCCGTCCCGTGAGGCTGTGAGGCCTAATGGTTATTATCTGTAGTTATGAGTTTACTTGTTGTTGAAATTGTTTGCCTTCATGTTAGAGATCATGTTTAGGCTTTATTCATGCTCACATTATTTGTACTCATTCATAGGAATTATTGTACATGTTTACCTCAGTCTCTATTATTTGCTAATATGCTATGATACTTGATGTGGGTTGTGTTCCCTTATTTGTTGATGATGGTGAGGCTAGTGAGGTACATGACTGAGTGAGGCCGAGGGCCTGGTTGTGAGAATGTTAATACCATAGTGCGTGAGTTGTCCGCGTAGCACGTGAGTTGACCGTGGGGGTCCAGGTATTGATACCATAGCGCGTGAGTTGTCCGCGTAGCACGTGAGTTGATCGTGCGGATCCAAGTATTGATATGATGGCACGTGAGTTGTCCGTGCTTAGAGGTTGGGCTTTGGTAGCCCCTCCGGAGTCTGTACACACCCCCAGTGAGCGCAGAGTGTTGAGTGTATTGAGTGTTGAGTGATAGAGTGCGAGTGCTGAGTGATGGAGTGACATTGTTGTGAGGTTGCATTTACTTTTGCTATTGCTGCATTTATCTGTTAAATTTCTTTGTGGCATACTGAGTTATGGAATTTACCTGTTTATTCCTGTTATTTTAAAATTGTGAAAAACAAATAATTGGACTATTTTGCTCAGCTCGTCACTACTGCTCAGTTCCTTAGTTATTTCTGTTACTACTGAGGTGGTTGTACTCATACTACACCCTGCACTTTATGTGCAGATCCAGGTGAGTTAGAGCGCGGTGATCGTTGAGTTCAGGCCGGCTTTAATTGGAGACTGCAAGGTAGCTGCCAGCGTCCGCAGGACCTTGTTACTCCTTTTATCATTTCTTCTTTGGACAGTTAGATAGTTTATATATCTCAGTTCATAGTTTTAGACGCTCATGACTTAGTGACACCCCGATGTTTGGGAATCGTTTCCGTATTTTATATTATTTATATTTAGAGTTGGTTAATTAGTTTATCAGGAATTAAATTATTGGAAATATTTTATTAAATCCTGAAAATTAATTAGCAGTAATATTTTGGGAATAGGCTTGCCTTGTAACACAATAGGCGCCATCACGACCATGGTTAGATTTTTGGGTCGTGACACGAGCATATTATAACTTGCCAGCACCATAGCCAGAATGGTAAGTAACAAGAATAAAACTTTTATACATTCTGTATGACCAACTGCAACTGAAAAACAACAGACCGAGACATAAAACAATCATGAAATGGTATTAACAATTTTTAAGACTTAGTGAGCACAACTGCACCATAAACAGAACCGTTAGACAAATCATCCACCAGTAGAGCTAGATTAGATAGAGCCGAAACAATATTTTAGAACTCCACCCTGTTGCTATACAAACAAATTTCCTCCTCCTTTCCTTTTCGCACCCCTGCGATGTAGCAAAAAGAAAAAGAGAAGAAAAGGAAGAATTTTTCTTCGCACGCATTCTAAAACGTGTATACATATTTTACATAGAAACATGTAAAGTTGGGCAATTGAAAATAGAACTAATAAAGGCAATATAAGTAGAAAATTTTTCATTAAGCGCATAGTCAATCATACAACTTTTGATAATGTATCCATCATGTGAAGTCACTTTCCCTTATGACTCTTGTTATCTAAGTAGACCTTCATTGAGTACTAATTCATTTTGACTTGCTTCGATGCATTACTTCTTATCAATTAAAAATATTAGACAAAAGCAGCAATCGATCTGTCGATCATTATTACCTTTCCATCTTCAAACATCCGTTCCCATACCAAGCACCAAGCAGAACCAAGTCCAAGGAATCACTTAGCCCTTCCACGTAGTCCCTCTTGACCTGCAGACAAGTCCCAGGATTAGGATTAGGATTAGAGCTCTAATTTTGCTAGTGCAATATATCATTCTTCGAGGCGACACCTTTAACCATGCATTAGTGCGCTTTGATGGTGTGTACCCAGCATCTATATCAAGGGATTTCACCATGATTCCTTCACAAGAAGAACGTAGCGCATCATCAAGAAAGGTGTTCATCCTAGCCAATGTGGCTTCGTTATCTGCACAAGAATCATCAGACTCTACCTGAAGAAAGATAGGCTAGGTAAATTACTAAATAGCTGGCAACAGAATGCTCATGTTACGTACTAACAAACAAAACAAAACTATGCACCAAGAAGAAACTTACAGTCATTTTCTGTCGCAAACTCGAAATAACCCACTTGCCGTCACCAAATAAATCCTTCAGGTCTGATTTTCACACAGAAAATTTCAAAAACTAGGAGGACGATTTTACAATATCTATTAAGTACTAAACTTCTACACTTATCGGAAGAAATAAAGATGCATACATTTTCGCCTTTGACGGAGTGGCAGATGCAACAATCTGTAGCCAAAGAATTTTACAGTTATAGAATCCTAAAAAGGATGTCTCTTCTTACTTAGGAGAATAGTTGATAAGCTACTCCCTTGGTACTGTTTGATTGGGTGCATGTATATATATTATTTGTGATGAATGAGATGTTATTTTAATTACTAATGTAACACAATATACAAAGCACATCGAATATATTCTGCGTGGTGCATGCCTATTAGGTAGGTATTTTCTTATTAATTTTATATTTTAGTTAACTCAGTTGAAGTCTTTTTTTTTTATGTTTAGTACATTGAGACTAATGAAAGGAAAATGAAGCATCTTAGCAGCTTCTGATAGAGATTGTAGGGTGATGTAACAGGCAAGTTGCTTATCATTGGTTGGCGTGATTTATAAAATGGGTAAAGGTGGCTATCTTTGAAACACATGTAATCACACACGCACACACCTAGATAGATTGAGATTGAGATTGAGATGGAGATGGGTAGATTTAAAGAAGAGTTGATTTTCTGCACTACATGTCTGTGAAGTGTGACATTGAAATCTGAAGCTACCTATCACTCAAAACCTAAAGACGTGTTAACTCCTTTTCATTTCCTATTCACTCGTGTCTGTGTTTACTTGTCTAGCTCGGTCAAAAAAATGAGCATGTCCTTGTGGCATAATTGAATTGCTTATATTGAATTAATAAGATATCCTTAGAATCCTACAGCAACATATCACCAACAAAAATGCATATATAGCAAGTTAAAGATTACTATTTACAGAGAATTTACATATTAGCAAAATGCGATGCACCGATTTGAAGGTCAACCAAAGTATGTAGTTGTCAGCTTCATTTGTTGTGGTCTTCGGCAAACATAATGAGACCTGTTACATGACATATTCAGGGTAGGAACTTATTGTCCATAAGAATGTATGAAGCAAAAGAAATAAAGAAATGTCATGTGATGAGAAGTATCAAGAAGCAGTGTAGCTAAGTTATGTATTTCATCGGATAAAAAAGGTATCCCGGTGCACTAAGTTCCCACTATGCACGGGATCTGAGAAAGGATTCAATAGAAAATAATTATTCAATACCAACTCTCAAGTAGCATCCTTTTCCATTTTTTCATGCTAATTGTATAAATGAAGTCCAAAAGAGTTGAAAGGTATGAATAGAATGGAAAATTTCAGCAGCACTTTATACTCTCTACCTGCATCTAGATGTCATAAGCTTAGCTTTTCAAATAGTTGCGTTGATGATTCAGAAAACGTAGCCAATTGAAATTCAGTGCAAAATCTAGCACTTTCTTGTTTTTAATACTTTGTTGTTTGTTTGGTTACCATAAAAATATACTCTAAAGTTCTGTTAATTTGCAAATGCTAAATTAGAATTCAAAGAGAAGGTTACTCAATCCAACATCTAGGGACGTGTCATTATTAAAATCGATATGATACGGACCGAACTCTGTTGAAACCTATTAAAGCCAAATAGCCAAATCAACACAGCAAAAAACTTGAAGAAGCAGAACAAATTACAGAAACCACACGCAAGGACCCTACAATCTGTCACTGTTCAGTGCACTGTTTACCCAAAATCAAAATTACCCAAAGTAAATTATCATATGCAAGAAATTAATTCCAAAGACAATAACAGAAATGGAATAGAAAAGATGATTCATTGAAAAAAAAATTCATTAACAGTCATTTTTATATAAGCTTGACAACTAGTTTATTTTAGAAAAAAAATAAAAGAAAAAAGAAAAAATTTAAGTGGGGCGGGGGAGGTTGAAATTTTTGTGGGTTTTGCCGCACCCGTCCCGCCCGGTCCCATTGCCATCCCTATTAGTATTTAAACATATCATTTGGCGGAAAGCACTAATAGTGTAAAGACTTTTGTACAATTTCAGTAAATTTTAACCTGTGATATAGTAGATTAACTACCCATTTCACCACATTACCATCAATGCTTATCAAGAGATTGACTTGTAATTACGGAATACATGATGTGATTGTGTAAATATTTTTTACACTGTCATTGAATAGAATTTAAATTCTATTTGAATCAGTGTGAGATTTAGAGAACCTATAGTTTATAAATTTGTATTACAAGGTTGGAGCAAGTGTGAGATTTAAGGAATCTTTAGTTAGTTTTATTAGAGATTTTTAATTCAGTGTAGGAATAAATATGAGGTATTCTTTGGGTTGTTAGAATAAGTGTGAGATTTAGAAGATATTTTGTTAGTTTGGTATAGATGTATGTCATGTTGGAGTAGGGTGAAATTTAGAGAACTTATAGTTAGTTTGGTCAGAGAATTGTGTTTCAGTCTAATATAACCGTGAGAGTCAGAGAACCTTTAGTTTTGCAGAACCACCAATTTTTCTTTTTAAGATAAATTATTGAGTACTTCAATGAAATAGGCTGGATGGAGCGAAACAGATATGTAAAATATTCATATGGCCAATGAAAACTATTTTGGGATTGAGGCGTCTTCTGTTGATATTTCGTCTGTGACATTGCATAATACAGTTTTTGGAAGCCAATGTGGTTTCTTTGTATTGAATCAATCAGTCGTTTTTATATTTTAAATTCATATCATGTTGTTAATGTTTCAGAAAACAAATTGTGGTTTCAGCCAGAGTGCACAAGCAGTGGTTCTGATGGCCAAGTGGGTCCCAACCCACGAGCATTCCACGTTGCTGTATCAATTGACTGTCATATGTTCATCTTTGGTGGGAGATCTGGCAGTAGAAGGTATGCAGATGCTACATAACTCATGTTTTGTGTATTATAATTGTTGCTTCTGCCAATGCCTTTAATTGGGTATCCTCATTTTCAGATTAAGCAATTTTTGGGTTCTGGATACTGGTAAGGATTTCTTTCTACCTTGCCTATGTTAGCTGCTATGCAAAGAAAAATGCATCATTATTTTCTATTTCATCTTTTCACTATCATTGGACATTTGTGAAAATTTCACAATAATCTCATTGATATTACACCAAGTTGTATCACTAAACAGTGCAGGTTTACATCATACCTCCTTCCAATTGTACATTATTGGATAGCTCTTTTACCTAAAATATAGTAATGATCAACAAGGAGTTGTTAATAATCCATAATGGATTTTCAACTCCTTCAGAAGAATTCCTTTCTCTCTCAAATCAACCAAAAGATGCATAAAGGATCACCCTTCAGCTCCTTCCCAGTGTCCATCTTCCTTTACCTCCAGCGCTCCGAAGTAAGTTTCCTCCATAGCTCTCAGTAGAGGGGTATGAAAAACAGAGTACGCTATCCGAGTAAAGCTGCCTCTAAGCCGTATAAAATCCACATTCTCACTGATCATTGTTTGCTTGGCAGAAACAACACAAATTAACTAGTGCCCAACTCCTCCCCTGCTAGTTATCCGCTGTTAGTATGGCGTTCTAAGCTGCAAACCATGTTAAGAAAGTATATTTCACTGTCATCAGACTTGGGTCTTGATTTTTTTATCTCTGCGGTGCTAGATATATGGCAATGGTCAGAGTTGACAAGTTTTGCTGACTTACCTTCTGCAAGGGATTTCGCAGTTGCTTCATCCGTTGGAAATAATAAAATTGTTATGTAAGTTTGTCTTACATTCTGCTGGTGCTTATGTCTTATTCTTCTTTCATTATTTTTTGGCATTGATTTGCATGCCGGTATGGTGGCTGGGATGGTAAAAAGTGGTTATCAGATGTCCATATCTTGGACACACGCACCGTCTTTGATAGCAACTCTAGGTTTTGTCTATCCTTTCCCTGTATTAGGTAACAATTTATCCATAACAATTGGTACGATTTTTGAATAGTGTCTCTTGAGTGGAGGGAGTTATCTGTTTTGGGAACTTTACCGCCACCTAGATGTGGCCATACCTCTATTATGGTCGAGAAAAGATTGCTTGTCTATGGTGGTATAGGTAAATGTGGATGATGATTTTGATTTACATTTGCCTTGGAAATATCATGTTTGTCTCTGTAATTTGCTATTCAGCTATTTTCATATACTATAAAGGTTTTATGCTGCTTAGAAAATCTTGAGGTCTTCTACGTATTAGGTTGAGTACCCCCCTCCCTCCCCCTTACAGTCTGAATTAAAGTTGTTTATCAGCAAATTTAGTCTGACTTAAGCATACGGAAAAATTTCAAAGACACTTTATATGGTGAGTGAAGTTAAGGATTTAAACTTGCACGTTTTTTCTACATCCTAAACTAATATGTTGAAGGGAATGAAGGTCTTAAATGCCCCAAAGTAAATGGTTCAGTGCATGGGCGTCCAGAGAAATGGTCTTGAAAGATTTCAATATAGCAAGGAATTTAACAGAGTATGAGATCCATTAAGGAGAAGTCTGAATCTTTGTACGTTTCCTTGCCGTAAGAAAACCCTTCTCAACTTGTCTATTTCTTTTTCCACTTTGGAGGGCATGGAGAAAAAACACATAATATACGTAGGCATAGAATCAAGTTAATTATAATAATGCATTTACCATTTTCTAAAATACATTTAACTGTTCAGTTGTAATTTTATCTGAAGGTATGTTTGTTACAACTTACATACGCTGGTGATGCTTTTACTTTTTCATCTTTTTGTAGGGCAAGTTGGCACTAACATCTCTAATTGGTTTTAGTTTTACTATACATGTGTTCAGATACTTGAATCTCTTTCTTAATATATGGACTAATGTGGTTAAATTTACTTTTGGGTAGGAGGTGGAGGGCCAATCATGTCTGACTTGTGGGCTTTGAAGGGCCTAATTGAAGAAGGTACACTTTACCTTGAAGCTTCAAGTTATGATCAGTGGACTTCCTTTTTTACTAGTGATGTTTCCTTTTTCTGGTAAATTATCGTCGGGTTTGTAAAGAAGAGAAGATGTGATTTAACTTCATCTTGTTGCTTCTTGAATTGGCATGGCATGTCATACATTTTCAGCTAATATTTCGTGGTTGTGCTTATCCAGTCTTTCAGAAATAGGAACAAAATTTTCCTAGAAAATATGAGTTTGGCTGCCCTTGAAGAAATACTCTAGTTCGTATAGCTGGAATTTCTATTTTTCATTTATTGCTTTCCAGTAATTAGTCAACATTCTTTTGGATCACTCACACGTTATTTG